CTGGACAGTGACTAAGGAAGATTGAAAAACAACCGATGTCTTTGAATGATGGTGTGCGAAAGAAGACTGGGTATACTGTGAGCTGCCAGAGGAATGAATGAATCTATGTTTGCAGAAGTACAGCCCAAATGCTCTTTAGAAGTAAGGATGACGAGACTTCATTTCACATACTTTGGACATGCTGTCATGATAGATCAGTCCCTGGAGAAGGACACTTTGCTTGGTAAAGTAGAGGATTCAGTGAAAAAGAGGAAAATTGGCACAATGGATGCAACAATGAGCTTAACAATTGGAACGATTGTGAGGAATGTGCAAGACCAGACAGTGTTTTATTGTGTTGTACATAGGGTTGTTCTGGATTGAAACCTACCCTAGGGCATATAGCACTAGCAACAACAGTCTTTTAGGATGCTTGTGAGAATCTGAAATAATATACAAAGCATCTGGCACGCTGGAGTTGTAAACAAACTCGTGTCAGCTCCTGTAGAGCAGTAGTAGCTTTCTGAAGGTCTAGGTTGAGGAGTCTATTGTCATGTCTAATATCATTAGGATTGTTGTTGTTGTAGTAAAGCGCTGTCGAGTCGGTTCCAACCCATAGTGACCCCATATAGGGTTTCCAAGGAGCGGCTGGTGAGCTTGAACCACCAACCTTGCAGTTCAAATGGCTTTGCAGTCTGGCACGTTAATCCACAGCGTATGCTGTAATTGCTTAGAGATGTCTGCTATGGGCAGACCATGGAGTAAGTAAAAGTCTATATCCATATATGAGTATTTGCCACATAAATTCTCTATAAACTATATTTATCCTGGTGTGGCACTGTAGGATCAGCAATGGACTGTGAACCACAAGGTCGGCAGTTCAAACCCACCAGCTGCTTCTCAGAAACCCTATACAGAGTCACTGTGAGTCGGAACTAACTCGACGGCACTCAACAATAGCATAATTATTGTAATGATTTTGCTATTATTACAAAAGTGTATATCCCTTTTCAAGTTCCTCTGTTTCTACATTTTCAACCTCCAAAAGAACCAACTAATTGCTTTTCTTATTATAGCTGTGTATATGATTTTTATGGATTTAACAGTAAAGGTGTGTGTAAAATGTATTGAAAAAAACTAAAAGGGGAAACCAGAATTTGCTATTCCCAATTTTACTACATAAGAAACCTACTTTGGAAAATTTTTATACAGGAACTTGAAGTAGAATGTGTGTTGGAAAGGAAACGATGAGCTAGCATGTTGAGATGTCATCCCAGTTTACCATGAGAAGCTTACACGGCATCCTGTATCATCTTTGAACTATTTATATAAGGGAGAAGAGATAGCAGTTTTTGCACTAAGATGTTTCATGAGTTTCTGGGCTCTTTTCCTGTTGTTTTTTTGTTTTTTGTTTTTTTTTTTCTCTCTCTCTGAGACCAGATTTCCTTTTTGGGTAAACAGTTATGTTCCTTCAGCCATAGGGGATTTTCTGAATCCCAAGCAGTTCATTTTGTATTCTCACCCCATTCTCTTTATTTGAAGACAGCAATCTGATCAAATCCTTTTTTTAAAATGTGTGTATTTACAGGCATATGGGAGAATAGTTAACAATCTGTGTTTCCTTTTATTTCCCACCAAAAATGTAGAGAAATTGAAGTTTTTTTTCTAAAATATTTACAATAGTACCTTATCAGTTTCTTACTTTTTTCTTTCTTTCTTTCTTTTCCTGATGACTTCATTCTACTTGAATTTAGTGCCTCAGTGTTGTTGGAGTAAACTAATAGATTATGTATGCAATGTTTGTGCTGTGTTGATTGAACTCATCTGGTGAGTGTGAACGTGGCTCATGAATTCACGTAATGGGCAGAATCTGCACTTGGATACAGACATCACAGCCATCTCGAGTCACTCCATAGTAAGGAGAGCTGCTCAGAATCGAGCTAGTTTCCCCACCTCAGCAGAGCTCACAAAAGCAGATCAGGCTTCATATTTTGCCTTATTGTCTTCTTTTTCAAGTACTGAAAAGAAATTAAAAAAAAAAAAAAAATCATCAGTAAGAAGCAGACTTTGAACTATTTTGTGAGTTTAAAAATACATATTGAAGAAAAATAAAATGATCTGATCTCATAGGTGTGTTTCTATCTTGATCCAAAGTGTCAGCTGCAGAGTATTTGTGGAACACTTGAAAACTCAGGCTGGGAGATTGAGAACATATGCTTCTGCTTTAAGCTAAGTCACCATCTAGGAAGAACACATCACCACCCCCTGCCCCCTGCCGACCAAAGGATGTTCAGTTACCACTTCCTTTTCATAGCTTACAAAGTATGATTTTCAAATGTTTGCACAAAATAATGGATCACCATTTTCCCTTGATTTCAGATATCTCATTTTATGAATTGAAACTTAAAGCTCAATTAAGGAGCTCTGGTAGCGTAGTGGTTACGAGTCGGGCTGCGAAACCGCAAGGTCAGCTGTTTGAACTACCTGCTGCTCTTCGGGAGAAAGATGAGGCTTTCTGCTCCTGTAAAGATTTACAGCCTCGGAAACCCTGCACAGGGTCACTATGAGTCGGAACCTACTCCACGGCACATTGCAATTCTGGGGCAATGTTTGCCATACAAGACTTTTCACAGTGTGGCCACTACCTCCCTTTTCTGCCCAGCTGTCCCTTTTTCCCTGCATCTTTCCATAAACCCTGTACACAGGAGCAGTGATGATCAAGCACATGCTCATGACAATGACTATCATTGTGATTAATTATTAAAAAGCGCAAATCCATTGCCTTAGAGTCTATTCTGATTCATGGTGATCCCATGTATTTCAGAGTAGAATTGGACTCCCTAGGTTTTTCAGTGACTGCTATATGATGGAAGTCAATTACCAGGCCTTTCTTCTTTGGTGCTGCTAGGTGGATTAAAACCTCCAGTCTTCCAGTCAGTAACAGACAGCATATTGTTTGCACCACCCAGGGCCTTATGATTCATAAATTGTTAGTAATTACTCTAAAGTGCCAAGATTTGTAAGTGATATACTTTGTCAAGGAGCCCATTTTGATTGCACAATGGTTAAGTGCTTATGAATCCTTGTGGTGCTGTGGATTTGACATTGCACTGCTAACCAAAAAGTCAGTGGTTCAAACCCACCAACAGGAGGAAGAAGAGGCTGTCTGCTCCTATAAAGATGTACAGTCTCAGAATCAATTCAGTCACAGAGGGTTTGGGTTTGAATTTTGTTTGGATGTTTATTGGAAAGTCAGTAGTTCAAATCCACCAGCCACTCCATGGAAGAAAAGTTTCCACTCTAGGCAACCCTTTGAGGCATTCTATTATGTCACATGGGGTCGCTATGAGCTGAAATTGACTTGGCAGCATACAACAACAGACTTCTGTAGTTTATGTATTAGACTAAATTCAAAATATCCCTAACATTACCAGCACTCACTGTATTCAAATTTGCTTTCAAAATGAGAGGGAAAGGGGTGTGTATGTCTCCCAATATATGTGGGTGTTGGAACAAAAGAGGTTGAGGACTAAATTGATCTACTGCGTTTCCTGTAAGCAAGATATTTTCTCATTTTAGTGCATCGTGCTTCCGTTCCCTCTATCTAGAATTCCCTTATATTCCTTGTCAAGCTGTTGAACATCTATGTACCCTTCAGCTAAAATGTCACCTCCTCTGTGGAGTTTTCTCCAGAACCCATCTCTCACCTGTCAAAATGAAGCCCTCTTCCTCTGAGTCATCATGACTGCCATGCAGTCCTCTGGGGTAACACCAATCACAGTGTACTAGTGTCTTCTGTAACCATGTCTGTCCCACAAAACCCAGACTGTGAGCTGTTTGTAAAAAAGGACTGTGGATTGTTTATTATTACAATCCCAGATCGTCACAGAAGGTCTAACAGAGTGAGCACTTAAGTATGTCTCCAATGAACCACAGAAATGGCATGAATGCTCAGCTCAGATCTGCCAATCATCCAGCCCTGAAATGGAATATTATCTGTTGAGATAATCATTACAAACAGATCCAAATGAAAAGCTAGCTGGCCAGTTTGGGGGTTGAGTAGATTAATCACTAGGAAAACTGTGATTACTAACAGAGCAGCATAGTGTGAAGTAGAAAGACGAGATGCTTAGACGAGTGACCAAGATAGCACATCCTACTGTAAGTCAGCTTTTTTTTTTTAATTTAACAACCTGCTCTGGTTTATGCTTCTTTCTTTCCCTATGACTCTCCTGTACCCAGATATCAACATGAACCCCAACCTACTCTCCCAACATTTATGAGTCTCAACGAAAAGAACTTAAAATTAAATTGGACTATGTTAACTTTATATTCCATCCAACCTTTGTTTTTAAGTGTTGTTGTCGAGTCAGTCCTGGCTCATAGCGATCCTGTATAGGGTTTCTGAGGAGCAGCTAGTGGGTTTGAACTACTGACCTTGTGATTCATAGTCCAGTGCTGATCCTATAGTGCCATACCAGTAATCCTTGTTTCAAATGGTGGTGGTGGTTATGTGCTGTGGAGTCGGTTCCAACTCATAGCGATCTTGTAGCGAGTTTCCAAGGCCGTAAATTTTTATGGGAGCAGAAAGCCTCATCTTTCTCCCATAGAACAGCTGGTAGTTTTGAACTGCTGACCTTGAGGCTTGCAGCCCTGTTCGTAACCACTACACTACCAGAGTTCCATCCTTGTTTCAAATAAGCAGCACTTATTTGAGAAAAGGAGATACCACATTAAGTTCTTACCACTTATGCTTTTAAGAGAACAGTGATGGCTCTAAGGCATTACCCCACCTGACTTTCTCACTCATGTAATCTTAATTCAGGTGCTGTGAGATTTGGAACTCAAGTTATGGCCACAAAGAGCTTTTTATTCCATTTTTGTTGCTGAGTTTATATTTTTCCTAGGTTAGTGAAATTGCGTTATGAAATCTTTAAAATTTGTAAGTTCTCTTTAATAAGAAAAGCAGACAGTAAGTTTCAACCCTTGTGTGATGATGTTTGTTTCATTATGTCCTACAGCAGCCGCACCACAAGTGGAAGTTCTGATCGTATCCAGAAGTTACGGAAGGAGTATTACCAGGCTCGAAGGGAAGGTTTTCCTTTATATGAAGAAGACCACGAAGGAAGATTAAGGCCTTCTGAGTATGACCTTCACTGGGTAAGCCCAACATGGCCAAGACTGTCTTATACATATCACGTTATCCTTAGGTACTTGAATTTCATAAATATGAATATTATCCAAACCACAGCTGCCTTCTCCCATAAAAGTTGTTTACAGAAATCAAACACAGAACTGTACAGTAGTTCATGTTAATTGCTCTCATATTGATTCCCTGTTGTAATTGTATGCAGGCTGATTTGGGGTGGGGCAGACGTTAACTACTTTATAAAGGACAAAGCGTTTTTATCACTGTTTATTGAGTCTTAGGAGTCCTGGTGTGGCGCTGTGGGATAATGCATAAGACTGCAAAGCCATTTGAACTGCAAGATCGATGGCTCAAGCTCACCAGCTACTCCTCGGAAACCCTATACAGGGTCACTATGGGTCAGAATCGACTCGACGGCATTAAATAGCAACATTGAGTCTTAAGGAGCTCTGGTAGCGTAGTGGTTTCGAATCAGGCTGCAAACCTCATGGTCAGTAGTTCGAAACTACCAGCTGTTCCGTGGTAGAGAGACGAGGCTTTCTGTTCCCATAAAGATGTACAGCCTGGGAAATCCTTACAGGGTCGCTATGAGTTGGAACTGACTCCACGGCACATCACAACAACAACAACAAATTGAGTCTTAGTCTTTGTCCTCCTTTCTTAGATCTTAGACATCTGCACAATAGTTAATAGAGCTCACGACATAAGCCATCTCTTCTTTGGAAAATGGTTATTAGGAATAAAAGAACAGAAATAAATTTAAGAGTCTTCTTCAGCAACATCGATAGAATATTAGATGTTAGAATTCACATTCTGCTGATCTTATTTATACTAAGATCACATTTTGAGGTAAAGGCAGGTTTTTTTTTTGTTGTTTTTTTTTTTAAATAAGAGGATTTTCTTTTCCAAACTTTAACATTGAGGGAAGAGAAAAGACTTTGTGACTGCTGAAGACTTTCTAGGTTTTCTTCAGGGCCACATGAGTCATTGTATTGTCTTATCAAATAGGCAAGGCTACGCCTACAAAATGCTGGTGAACATAAATGCCTCAGAGCAGAATGCTTAAAGTTGAATTCAAAGTACACATCCATCACATACTCTGAACAGGGCTTGACACAGAGTCAGTGCTCAATACATGGTAGGTCTAGTGGCGAACGTTAGTGGCATAGAGTTGAACTTGGTAATCATGGTATCCCTGCTGTGAAGTCATTCCCACTCATGTTTTCTTTGAGCACTCCTGCCCTCCATTGTAGATTTTGTGCTATATTGAGAACTGTGTATGGATATCCATCCCTGGTGGTCTTGGATAGACAATTCTATCAACAGAACAGGTCCTTCCCCCTGAGTTTTTGCCCAGATGCATACTCAGGGTCAGAGTTGGAATCCAGCAACTAAACTGGTTCCCTTAGCTTTCACTTCTGTGTTGTGGCATGCTACACACAACGCTGACCTATGGCATGTCACACGTGCATTTTTACCCTGGTGTTTGAAAATGCCTTACTGGATCCATCTATGTTGCACAGCTATTATTGTTGTTAGTTTTTATCTAGTAAATTTCCACTCATGGCAACCCCGTGAGTGCAGAGTAGAACTATGTCATAGGGTTCCCAAAGTTAGGACCTTTTGGAAGTAGTCACCAGGCTTGTCTTCCAAGGCTCCTCTGGATGGGTTCAAACCGCTAACCTTTTGGGTAATAGTTGAAAGCTTAAACATTTACACTACTCAGGAACCTCATGAGGCATCCTTCTCTTGTAGTAAAATTTGAAAACACTCTTCAGAAGTACATAGTAAATATTGGTGATCTCAAACTCTATGGTTTAAACTTCTTCCAGATATGGGCATCCTGTGACGACTATTCGGGGGGAGGGGGAATTAAACAACCAGTTGCTGTGGGATCAATTCTGACTCATGGCAGTTTCAATACATCTGACCTGTGCTCCATTAATGACTGGGTTTTCACAGTAGATTGCCACATCTTTCTTTTGAAGTGCTTCTTGGTAGACTTGAATCTCCAACCTTCCAGTTAGAGACCAAGCATGTAAACAATGTTCTCCATCCAGGAACGCCCCTGTGACTATAACAAGGAGAACAGCTATTTATTGGTGAATTGCAGAATTAAACAGAATGACATTTACAGTGATGGGACAACTCATCATCTTAGTAGCAAAGGAGAATTAACCCTCAGAATAACAATTTAGAAATCAATTAACTACATTTTCAAATCTGACCAAGAGAGATTGACTTCCCTTTGTTGAGAGTAGTAGCAAGTCCCTCTATACTTAAAGTTTTGATCCGTTGGCAAAACAAACAAGCAATAAAATAAAATTATTTCCACCTAAACAAAACAGAACATGATGTCCAGTAGGTTTCCCTATCCCCAAACTACTCTGAACCTCTGTTAGGAAAATAAAGCACATAACTATAGATTAATCAGTTGTGGGTATTGTAACCTTATTTGGTATGATTCGAGTAAGACCTCAAGCTGTAAGAACAATACTTAAACTTCATGAGACTTAAGAATTTCCTCCAACCCTCACCAGACCTGAGCCATGTAACTGGTCCTTTGAGTCTCTTGCCTTTTAAAATAATTCTACTTTTTTTTGCCAAGCACATGTGTAGCCAGACAAACAATTGTGTGAGTAAATAACTATCTCTATTTTAATTTGTGTTTCTCATGCTTGGGTGTGTTGAGCCTTGCTAAAAGTGACTGATTTTGCATTTGTTGAACAATTGGGGTCTAGGGCTTCCCAAAGGGATGGTTAGAGAATACAATGTCATATAATCATGTGAGATACTCCAAACCAGACATTAGGATCCCAGCATCCGTTACCCGACTCTTTACAAGCCAGAAGAACACTAGTATCTTTTATCTAGCATAGGTCTAAGAAATTACACTGTGGTCTTCCTACCTTTGGAAAGATATAAAAAAGTAAGTTTAGAAAGTTAAGATTTCATTATTGCAGCCAGCCAGACCCAACAAGGCTGAACTTCCCTGTCACTGGGGGAATGTAACATCAGATTGAACTTAACATCAGATAGTCAATATAGGGGGATGTTGGAGCCTAGGGGGGCATGCCCAAGGGCTTCTCCCATTCTTAAAGTAGTGCATTTGCTCCCATTGACTCAATAAACATCAACATATTCCAGCTTTTCTTGCAGAGTCACTACATGGACCAGCATCACCAGAAATACTTTCATGAACTCCAAACTCCTGAAACCTGTTAGCTCAGATTGTGAGTCTTGACAAATATCCTTGGAGTCACACTATCCTGTGGCACTCCTGAAATATTGAGATGGAAACTAGCAAGAATAGTTGCCAGACATCTTCTTTTAAACTAGTTCTAAAATGAGCCCGAAAGAATGAAACTCTGCTTATAGAGTCTTCAAAGCCAAGGTGATCAAAGTAACCATCTAAAAGACCGTTGTCATTGGTGGTAGTGATGGTCACTGTCAGGTGGATTCTGATTCATCGTCACCCCCGAGGAGAACTGCTGCAGAGACTTTTCATCGCTGTGACCTTTTCCAAGTAGATTGCTAGACCTGTCTTTTGAGAGGCTTCTGGGTGGGTTCAAATCGCCGACTTTTTGCCTAGTAGTCAAGGCTTAACCACTTGCACCAAACAGAAGCTCCTAAAAGACCATTTGTTGTTGTTGTTGTGTGCCGTGGAGTCAGTTAGGTCTCATGATTTCACTTTAAAATGAAATTTATCTTTTTCATTGGAGCACATAGTCTTTCTTTGACCTTGCCCAGTCTTTCTTTGACCTTCCCAGGTCATCCCACTTGCAGTTCTTCACTAATCAGATACCTGCCCAAAGCCACATCTCTCTTCTCCTGGCTGCGGCTGAAGACCTCCCCATGTTCCTCAGCATGTTCCCACTTGCTCTCACATCTCTCTCTCTTTCTTCTCTCTTTTTTTATACCTCCTATTCCATTTTAACAAACATTTGCTTGGTCTTAGCATGAGCTAGGATCTGGTAACAAGATTATGATAGTATCATTATCTTATAGAAATCACAGTCTAGTCCAAACAACAGACTTCTAAGCCAAAACAACAACAAAAAGAACAGGACTATCTGTGAAAAGTGCGATCACGTAGGAGGAATTCACTTCTACGTGAGCCACAGAGAGCAACAAATTCTACTGGCATCTGCGTGTGTAGTTAGGACTACGGGGGAAGCTATAGAGACAATTTGGGAGTTGCCTCAGCCAACGTATTTTGTTCTCTTTTTCAAAATATGGTATCTGTTTTTGTTTTGTTTCTCTTTGCAAAAGAGTTCCTGATTTATTCCATTTGTTTATTTAAAAGAAATGAATACACATAGATTTCAGGGTTTGAGACCTTAAGAATCTTTTCAGCCAATCTGTTTTGGAGCTGTTTTCCCAACTAGACTCTCAAAAACAGCAGAGAATAAGTGGTGAGAATTTCACTAGTTGCAAGTGAAACCTAGCAAGTCTTTATAGGCCCTATTAAGTAAGTAAGATATGCTAGCTGTGAAGTGTTAATATTTGCCAAAAGAAAACACAATACCTGTTATCTGCTGGTATTTTATTTTCTGTAAAACTTGTTAAGACTGTCACAGTCCTCTGGCAACAGGCTGATTTTTTTTTTTTTTTTTTAGCAGATAAAGATCATCTGCTCATTTAACAGCAGCATGAATATCCTGTAAGTAATTTCAGAAATAGGATGGCTCTGGAGTTTTCTAAAACTATTATATTCGTTTTCAAGAGCTGCATGGCATGTACCACCCTGCTTCCTTTTGTTTTGAACTCAAATGCTAAATTAGAAAGGTGGTTGCAGACATATGTATGGGAAGCGAGGGCACACTTGTTACTAGATGGGAAAATATGGAACTTAGAACATCGTTAAACTCTCATGGAGGCTAGTTTTCACTGTCATAGAAAACATGGGACTATATCTTTCTGGCAAAGGGTATTGCTTCAGGTAGGTCATAGTTGGAACGAATAGATGGATGGGTGAATAAATGAAAACATTTCAAAAGATTCGTTCACC